TATAGAATTACATAAATAGATAAAATATGGATAAAAATATACCAAGAAATATTGTTAGAATTATTATAATAATTAAGCCTAAGACAGCACATTAGCAAAGAAATGGATGATCACGGACGAATTAATTATGTAAATTACAGCGTAAGAAATAAAACGAAAGAGAGGTGGCAATCCAAGTCAGACGGAGAGAAGTTTTAAACAAGAAATACGGAACACTCACAATGTGATTGATTTGATGATTTTGGTGGGTGGTTTTAGAAACCCCGACAGTGGCAGGCATCATTTTGTGTCCTACTTGGAAATACATGGAGGTGGGGGGTGCAAAAATGTCAGCCCCTTTCAGGTGGACAAAGTGGGTGCTAATTAATACGCTATAAAAACAGAATTAAAAGTTTTGGAAGCACTCTTCTAAACAGATGGCGAGATTATATAACATAATATATCCATTAGGTGATTACCCCCGACTTGAAAAAGGAAGCAATCATTACAGCATAAACTTTCAGATTCAACATTATACTCTGGAACCAAATTAAGTAACTGAGATAAAACTTACATGACAATTCGTTTTGTTTTAACCTTTAAACAACATTAGGTTGTTGATATAAGTTATCTTTCCATCAGACAAAGTTTTTTGGGTCTTTGTTCAAGGCCATGATTTGGTACAGAGGTAATATTCACGTCCCAAGCTTTCCTTGGACATTTTCCCTGCAGGTCTAAGCAGCTATGTGTTTTCCTGTTTGAAGAAGGCACTGCATGCAAGGAGAGGTTTTTCCTTTGCCACATGGTTAGGGACTGTTCACTGATGACGTCAGCTAAGAGGGGGGAGAGGGAAGGGCGCGGGGGGGGGGGGGGGGGGGCCTTTGAAAAGTTGACAAAAGTTGACATGGGGGGGGGGGGGGTCCTTACAAAGTCGCCGTCAACGATGATGCTCTAAAAGGTTGTGTAAATTAAGAAAAGAAAAAAAATGCTTTTTTCCTCTTTTTTCTGTTCTATGGGGGGCAATAAATATTCTTTTGGCCACAGGCTGCTAGAAGTACTAGATTAGAACTAAAATATCAGTTTTTATTTTCAAAATTTAAAATACAGATCAAAGGTATATAAAATGCACCCTGTGCAGGTTCTATCTAAACTATATATATGTACATCTTGGTTAACGTCAACTTGGGGGGGGGGGTGTATTCATTTTTGGCCAAATCTTAGCTGACATCATTTGTGAACAGCCTCTTATGGAAAACAAGAGGTTTTTTTCGGGTGCAAATACTGACTTTGAGTTCTAAAACAATTCAAGTGTGTGTCAATCTGCACACATGCCACATTTCTCCACTGTTACAATCAAATTTTTAAAAAAGATTTTCTCGCTCCAAAGAAAAATATGACGATTCTCAATTTTTTTTTTATTGGAAAGAATAGGTTTATTACTTCTTGAGTTAAGGAGCAATATAGACCTTTACAAAAATCTTGAGGGATATAATGTGAGGAGGAAGAGTTTCAAAAAGAAGTAACACTCCCCCCCCCCCCCCCCCCCCCGAAAAAATAACTAACAATTTAAAAAAAACATTACATTATAAAATCACCCACCTGGATAAAAAAAAGACGGAAAATAACACAACTTCGTTCACAGTAAATAAAAATAGATCAAGAGCATGGCAAGTTGTGCAAATAAATACAAATTATGTTTGTGCAATTGTGCATTAGTATAACATTGATACATGAAATAAATTCGAATAAAACTACCTCAAGCCCCTCATTTCTTCAGCACTTGTGAAGGCTTGGAGGAATATTTAAGAAATGTTTTGGATGATCTTTATACAGTAGAAAAGTACATAGTAAAAAAGAACACAGGTGATACTGATATCATTTGTAAAAATAGAGGAATTTCATAAACAACTTTCTTTATTCACTCGGCAACTATAATGATACATGAACTGGCGGTACTCAAAAAGGTGCACCTCAATACTTTAATCTGTCAAATTGTACCTCTAGGGTGCTGAGGGGTGAAAGAGCTTCCTGTCTCTTAAAAGTTTGATGGCCTGGCTGTGTGGCACATTGTATGTTCTCAGGGTATCCTTCACATCCTGGATCCAGGTCTTTCTTGGTCTTCCTCTTGCCTTGTACCCTGATATTTCCTCTAGTAGGCTTTGTTGGCAAGCTGATTAGGTGCCATACGTGTAAGATGTCCAAACCACCTGATCGTTTGCCTTCGAATGTAGTGCACCTGAATGATGTCTCTAATATACTATTACTCCTACAACAAACAATTATTATGGCATTAGGCAAGGAAGAAAAACATATTACTTCTTTGCAGAGCATCAAAGAAGCGGTTCGAATTCAAGTTACTGTCTTCAAATATAGATCAGAAAAGCAGCAATATGTGTACATTTGTAAATCTCAATCATTATTCCGTAAGGGAATCAGAACTGAACACCCTCAAGTGCTGAAGCTCACAAACTGATACTTTAGGTTTCTGGTTACATGTAAAGCACAACACAAAATTAATGTAGACTACCTACGTGCAGGGAGAGAAAAATGATCATTACTTTTCTTAATGTTAAACTTTCGAGAGCCCTTCTCATTTCAGTGGGTGGTTGGCGGGTACTCTAGTGTGGTTTGCTCCTTCTTTCTATCAAACATATCAACCTGACCTCTCCTCCTTCTATTTTTGAGTTTATTACCCTCTTGTAACACCTCTAATCTTTGGCACTTATTTTACCTTACTGTGTTGCAAGTGCCGTAAAACTCTTACTAAAACTAAAAGCTATCATATTTCATGGTCAAGGCGCATGAGGGATGAAGGCAGCGAACTGCTACAGAAAAAGCTAGATAAGGAGAAAGTTAATTTTTCAGGTACATTTTTGCTAAAAGCATGCTATGGTCCTCATCTATTCATCTTGTAAAACTCTTACCAAATAAATGGGAGATAATGTTTCTTGTGTGCAGCCTTCGTTTTAAATGTCCTGAACATGTCACAATCAAAAGATCATGGGGCATAACTAGAACCTCTTATATACACATTTAAGAGTTCCTTAAAGGCTGTAACAGTGGAAAGCATAGCAGACAAGGCCAGATTTATACCAACAAGAGGTGTTTGTTGTGTCGTACTGTCTGGTGTGTATATATAGAAAGTTAAGAAAGAACAGTAAAAGTATAGTTGAGGTCTCCATTTGGAGCTCACTTGACCTACTAAACACATCTGGGGCCTCCACTCTCTGTGGGGCCAACGGATGGGAGGGGGAGGGGGAGGGACGGGAGCGGTTACGGCATGTACAAAAGATGTTTTTATGAATGGAGACCTTAAAAAGACGTCCACCAAAAGAACCGTGATTACTTAACTAGTTCGAAGAGAATAGAAAGATCCACCGCTTGTCTGGAAATTGTTGTGTATGTGTGTTTGTGTGTGTGTGTGTGTGTGTGTGTGTTTGTGTGTGTGTGTGTGCGTGTGTGTGTGTGCGTGTGTGTGTGTGTGTGTGTGTGTGTGTGTGTGTGTGTGTGTGTGTGTGTAAGTGCATGGGTTATTTAACGTCCATCTCCTTTAGGATTGAGCCAAAATATGTTGAGAGCCTTAAAAGCTCCACAAAATGACCCAAGCTCAAGAGCGCTGAGCCTAGGGTTTGAACCAGGGCCGTACACTCTATAGCCCAGCATTATACCAACTGAGCTAACGGTGTGCCCCACTTGAGTGCGCTCAAAGCCGACGACAAAGTGGAAGAAGAAGATAAAGATATAAGGCAAATGTATTATGCATAAGGCACTAAAGTTGGAGTTTGCTGCAGAAAAAAAGGTCACAGATTCTTCCAACAGGAAAGGGCTGTGGGCCAACAGGAAAGGCTTGCGGCGAAGTTGATCAGTTGAGTAGAGAGAACAGGTCGTTCGGTGCACATGAGTTGAGACCTTTACAGGACCGCCATGGGAGTTTCGTTTGTGTCGTTGATCACTTCTACATTTTGGTACTCAGGCTCTGAAGTTAGAGACTTAGAGAAGCATAAGTTCTTGGAAAATTAAACTACAGCAAAGAAAAAATGTTGACTCTGGTTTGCTGAAGTTCACTTCCTGAAGGATAACACGGTTTAATTCTATTAGTAAAATTGCAGAATGTAAGAAAGACTTGTCCCCCCCCCCAGCAAAAAAAAAGGTTTTTAATGTTGGATGTAGGAAATTGACTTTTCAAAGAAAGGAAAGAACTCTTCACAAGTTATTTAAAATGTCAATAGTTGCATAACGATGCAGTGTGAAGTTCTAATTGTTCAGAAAAATAAAATATAAAATATTCTCAGTCTTATCTGGAGAAATACCCAGATAGCCATAATTGACTACTGTTCTAGTCGTTCACTAGGAGTACGTTTCCTTTTGACGGGCACAAAACCATAAAGGGGCACAAATGAAAAGATCAGTAGGCTGGAGTTCTTTAAATAGAAATGCATGTTGAAGTTTCATAACTTAGGTGTTCATCTCTAAAACTTAAGATCTAGAAATAATTATTTATCCAGTTGAAATTGTCTAAGACGGCTATCCATAATGATTGTTGAGGACAAAAGTGAACGACTTAGTTGTTTGTTTGTTTAGTATAGGGTTTTACGGCGCTCACAACTGCATAAGGTCATATGAGCGCGCGGGACACACCTAATACTTTTTCGTGGGTAGGAAATTTTGAATTTTGCCCGGGTGGCGGCCGAAGCCTACTCTTATCGATTTTAGACCACCAAGGGATCTTTAACGTGCGCAACTTGCACACGGGCCCTCCGAGATTTTTGGCCCTTGTCCGAGAAGGCTGGGTGTAGATCTTTCCTACCAGAAGATCAGGGGTGTGGCAGAAAGACAGCAGTTAGGAGGAGCCAAGGAGTAGCAGTAGAAAGGCTGCAGAAAGAGTCAGGAGCCCAGAGGAGGGGGCAAAGGAGGTGAGGGGGTGGGGGCAGAAAGTGGAAATGAAAGCAGACAACAGAACATTGTTAGAGATCAGGAAAGGATGTGAAAGGAGACAATTTTAGAGAAGAAAATATTTTGGTCGCTACCCGGAATCGAACCCGGGACCTTTGAATGAGAGGCCAACACCTTAACCTCTAGGCCACGAGAGCCCCCGAACGACTTAGACGGGTGGATGTCTTACTCAGTGTCATAATCATGTTAAAAAATACACATGGGGAGTGGGTGGGGGTGGGGGTGGTGTTTGTACAGGTGTTTATCATATATATAATATAATATTATTATACAAGTGGCCGTAATACCGGGTGCCCATTGGTGCTATTGGTTGGGTCGGGTCGGTTTGCCAGTTAGACTGAAAGTGCAAAGCTGTTATCGTTGCACCAACCAATTTCCTGACTCGTTGCCAAAAAAACAAACGCGTTTGTTTTCAGGGGACGAGTCTGGTGATCTACCCGATCCGACCCAATCCCATCCGCAAGGGGCATCCGGTATTAGAGCTGGTTCGACTATACTTGGTCACTTTCCTGGAAACCTCTCAAACTAGATCTTCAGGGAACAATGTATTTGCTCCTTGTCTAGCACACACGTGTCAAATATCCATCATTGAAATACCTTCCATCTCATTGAGAAGTCTTTTCTTCAACATGTCAAGAAGTAGTCGATGTGAAGAAATGGGAGCACAAGGAATGGATTAGCTAACACTCATTGGATTTAATCAGGATTAGAAGACAACTAGAGGCAGAAACGAATGCAAGCAGAACAAAAGAATTAAAAGCTGTAAGCTGTACACATCTACACACATATTTTGTTTTTCTCCTATGCTGGATCTTCGGTGTTATACTTGATTCATAAGTGTATACGTAGACCTCAACTCAACAACACATAATTAAAATAGTTATCTTTGGTAGCTTTCAAGATACTGAATATTACACACAAAAAACCCCTGTCAGTCACCAATACTCAAAGCTGAAAGTAACAAATTATCACTATCTCTATTCTATCAAAATTGACATAATATAAAACACAGCTTGCCACAATGTTTTCAACATTTTACATTTGAATAAAAATCGTACTAATCTCTCTGACAGCCTATCAACCAATTGTGTCTATTCGCCTTTCTCCCTTACTTAAATGAAGAGGATATACTTAGTGGAAGAAAACTGATTGCAGAAGAAAGGACTTTCACAGTCTCCTGGCTATGTCATCAAGTAGCAAGTTAGAGCTTATGGCAAGCCAGAGCAATAGCGGCTCCATCTTGGCTGGGAGAAACCAGGGGATAAAACAGAGTGAAAAGAAGTGCAAGGAGAGGACAAGACAAGAGTGCTCACAGAGCATCCACAAAACCAGTTCATCCAGCAAAAGTTTTGCTGTCATAGGCAAAGTGGTACATCCAAGAAGACCTACATGATTGAATAATAATGTGGAGTTTCCTCCAGGGGAGCAATGTGGTTCCTGCCTTCTTCACTCTCTTCAATTCTTTCATAGAGCCCTTCCTGTTCCTCGGTCATCTTTTTCTGTATCACGGCCATCAGTGCATCAAAAATGAAAATGTACTGAGTCTGAAAATAAAACCACGGTTGGCATTTACATAAAAAGTTTAACAATTAACTTGGTTTTGCCTTGAATAGTATTCTGTTTTTAAGTTTATCAAAATAAGAGAGAACAGTTAGAATATATTGTGAAAATGGTCATGACTGAAAAAGAAATAACTCTCTTCATTATCTGGTGTGCAAAAGGCTATGCTCTCAACTTGAAGTTGCGGAAGTAAAACTTGCAGATGTAAAACAAAACTGATGCATCTGGTATATCATATCAGATATGGCGACCCTTATGACGGAGATGGCAAAGAGGCAGTACCATGTAATTATTACATGCATTTAATCTAAAGAAATGACCCCATGGGATTTTTCAGGGAACTCGTCGATGAGTAAAGAGAAAATGTACAGAGGAAAAAAGCTGGTGAATCATGGATGCAGTTTGCTCTATTAATGTAGGACAGACAAATTTGGAAGACAAGCAGTTGAAAACAAGCAGATGATGTTTGAGGAAATAGCCACTCTTATTTATGGAGATAGGATGTATAAGACTGGCTAGATTTGTTATGCTTCTTGCTCTTATGGTATCATTCTTGCAATTTTTTGGGAGCAGCTTGGATACCTGTACTGTAAGGTATCAGTTTTGCAATTTTTTGGGAGCAGCTTGGATACCTGTACTGTAAGGTATCAGTTTGATGGATACCTAAACCTAACCTAGGTTTGGACTGTGAACCTCACCTCCATCTGCACCATACCGGGACAGTTCTCCCTCATCTTCATGACGTAGCTGAAAACGTCCATGTTCTCATCTAGACTGTGCTTGTCCACGTACTGAGTGAAATAGTCCAGGGTGATAAAAGTACCAGTGTGACCCACACCAGCGCTGTGAACATTATAACATAGGACAGGGTATTCATAACATAGAACAGGGTATTCATAACACAGAACAGGGTATTCATAACATAGAACAGGGTATTCATGTGAAGGAAAGACAGTCTCTAGTAATATTCTCTCTCTCTCTCTATCTCTATCTCTATCTCTCTCTCTCTCTCTCTCTCTTTCTCTCTCCCTCTATGTATGTGTGTGTGTGTGTGTGTATCTCTATCTCTCTCACACACACAAAGACAAACACACACACACACACACACACACACACAGACACATACTCTCTCACGCACTCACTCACACATAAACACAAATACGTCTTCCATTAGGGCTCATTGCACTCCGCACTCAAAGAAAATTTCTGACCCCGCATTATCTTTTCCTGGAACATAGAATGCGATAAGCCCTGATGGATTTCCCGGTCAAGCAAAAGTTTATTTAATACAGTGTGCACTGGTCAGTGCCATTTCCCGACTTGACCCCATCCGAAATGTTTAAAAATAATAAAATGTGGGTATTTTTAAACAACCTTAGACACAATTTAGATTATTATTTAGGAGGCGGGCTTCCAATCGTGAAACTGTCTGGGCCAACAAAGGCGGAGGGGGATACAACATCCCTGCAGAAGGATCAAGATACTCTATACAAATTTCTCCCCATTTGGGAATCAAACTGCAGTCTACTGCATGCGACAGTGAGGTGTTTAAGCGCTACACCACAGATGCCAGTATCAAGTCTGATCTGATTATGTAAATTAATTAGATTCCTTAATTGACCAACAGGCTCCTGTTTTAATCATGTGAGAAAGCGTCTACCAACCTGCAATGGATGACAAATGGCCAAGAATTCGTTAGTGTGGCTTCCTGTCGCACAATTTGGACGAAGCCTACCACATCATCTACTGTCAAGTCGGCCTTGGCGTCAGTCCAGCCTTGCAGGGAAAAGTGGGTCAGCTGGCGCGTGTCTGAACCCTGCAACAAATAATGTATGGACACATCACTGTCAGGAAAAAGGAATCGTGGACTAGTCTCAATTCACAATGGTTTTTAATGTTTGCACTAGGGTTTTCAGTTTTGTAACCTCTGTACTCACATTTTTGGACTATTCTTGCTGTGACAAGAAATACAAGAAAGACAAACTCAGCTTCAGTGACTTCTTCAATCTTGTGTGATGTAGTTTGTGGCCCCTAGTCATATTAACAGCAATATAATTATTGTAGGAAACAGAATAGTACAGGAAAAAAACTAGGAGCATATCACACTGTAGCCTTTTCCAACCACTTGGAACCTTATAAATACATGATCTCATATCAATTGTTTATATATGATGATATAAATACATGATGTCATTCAATTGTTTATTTATGATGATATAAATACATGATGTTACATCAACTGTTTATTTATGATGATATTAATACATGATGTTACATCAACTGTTTATTTATGATGATATAAATACATGATGTCATTCAACTCTTTATATATGATGATATAAATACAAGATTTCATATCTCAATGCTGTGGAATCAGGAGCTCATCTTTATTTGGGAATGTAGAGTTATTGGTATTATCTCAAAGCTTGCCCATTTGTCCTATTTTAATTTTTTTTTTTTAATAACAACTATTTTGAAAAGAAATCGAGATACTTACAATTTAATGAGGTGCCCACCACTCCCCCGCCCCACCTGTAGTCAGAAGTAAAATTAGTAAGAAAATGGCTGCCAAAACTTAAGTGTCCTAGGGAACTGCAAATGAACTTTTTTTGTAAATTTAATCAACGTTTTTCCGGTAAAATTTATTTTTAAATGGACATTAAAGGTGTTAAACCACAACCCCATCCCCCCTCCCCACACTAAAAAAAAAAATGACCTACGGGCAAACAAAATCTTGGTTCCTTCAATTTCATTATTTTAACAGCGCCTGATTTCACCACGATGCCCCCCCCCCCCGGCCAGACACACACCCACATGAACACATTAACATATCCACTATATAAGTATCCGTGAGAAATTGTATCGAGTATCTCAGTCTTTCTACTGGAATGTTGTATCCCCCTCATCCCAGGTTGGCCCTGACCGACAAGCCCACCTTTTAAATGATCAACACTCTGTCGATAAAGGTGAAAAACACCTAAATTCATAAAAGAAAAAAAACAACGTCACAATGCCTCGCCACAAACAAATTACTTACCATGGAGATCTGGAATTTACGCATGGTATATTTGTTGAACAGAGAAACATTTGTCGTTTTCACCACTACGCCTCCATACTCAACAGATTCGTCGAGGTTCTTCGGCCAGTACGATTTCTCTTTTCCCTGAAAGGTTTCATACTTTGAGAAAGGTATGAACTGGTCATGCACTGTGACCAGCTATACTCACTTTAGCCTGAGGCACAGTGGCACTGATTGTATATATTTAACTGAATGTAACAATCAGGATTAAAGTAAAGTTGCACCCCCCGTCCATATTTTTTCCATTAAAAAAATGCTTGACCTAGTATGCAAATCAAGGGTCATGTGGGGTCACAGCGGAGTTGCAACTACATTGTATGTCTAACAGAGGAACAGGGAACGGTGTGCTGTGATCATCTTGATGAGGGAAGGTATGACCGTTATACTTTACTTTGGCCACCCGGTAGACTACACTCTTTGGGAAGGTCAAATCTTTGCGGACATTATTTGACATTGTACTATGTCAAAATTAGATTTTTAAAAATCAAGTATGCTGAAGAGTTTGAAGAGGCTTTTTGATTGGTCATAGTCTCTTAAACTTAAATCTGGAGGAATACATTCTATCTTATTAAATATAGATCTAAAGTCTTCTCATCCAAAAATATAGGTCAAGCCATCACCATAGTTATAAGTGTAACAACTGCTGGAGACCACAATAGTATCATGTCACTGATATGTTGCTTGATAGCATTGGGGGCTCCAGTGGCTAAGTGAGTAGTGAGTTTTGACTCAAGCAATGTCAAGCAAGTGTCTGTGACACGGGGATCAGATGGGTGGTCACTGGAGTGTGTCCTTGAGCAAGACACGACAACCGTAGCTCAAATTACAGGGCGCTGCAGAGTGGCTACCGACAGTGGCATTGTTTGTAAACTGTTCTGTATTTGTGTAATAGTGTGTATTTATGTATGTATTTATACATGTATGTATTTATGTATGCACGTATTTATAATTATGTATTTAGCAGGGGCGAAGGCTGACTTGTTTGACAGGGTAATCAAAGTGAAATGGGACCAGATATGGCCTGTAGATATCACACAAGAATCTTACTCGAGGCGGTGACTCTGAGTTGTGAATGAAAACAAATCCGGAATTCATATTGTATGTTCAACCGCCAAAATAATCAGGAAAGTATCTTATTAAATATCAGTTCCCACTAAAATTAAACTTACCTTTAGATGTGAATACATAAACACAAAGCAAAGAAGAGAAGCAGAGATGTCAGTACTAGATCTATATGTTATAGATCTACCAGTGAGTCTAACTCTTTGGTAGAACATGACAATTATTATTTTTTAAATTTCACATTTGGCTGTTTTTGTTAGCCTTTCGCGGCCAAGAGCTGGTGTCATAATCGAGGTCACGATTTGATTATAGGACGGTAAAAAGTCGAGGAAAAAAAACAAGCACAAGCAGCAGTCAAGAGATTATTAAGAGTTAGTTCCCCTCACACGTGTGAGGTAGACTCTACCAGTGTTAGTTAGCTTACTTAATCAGGGCGTATGATTGATTTTAACTGTGGCCCCAAAGGGGTGAACAGGGTATATGTGGCAATGAAACAACTTTGACTGACATGCACATGTTCCCTTCAACTCTATTCCAGCCTCACTTTAAGCTTATTTAATCAAAGCTTGCGTCTGCTTATGGAGTGGCCCGAGAGGGGTGAGAAGGCTATTTCTGTGGCCGTGAAACCGTTTTGAATGTTAGGCATACTGTTCGTTGTTGGTTACGAACGTCTTTTTACATTTAATTTATGAGGTTTACGTTTAAGGATGAATTTGACAGCGACAATGTTTCAAAATTA